CAAAATCCGTCCATGCATAACTGAGATCCGGGTCCGGAATGGTGAAAATGTGCGATTTGATGCATTTTCGGCCTTAAAGGCCGCCATTCGGCTATCGTTAATCGGATCATGAAACAATGCACATACATATTTGTGACATGATGTACCTTGTGTGTGTGAAGTTTGAACTCGATCAATCCAAGCATGTCTCAGATACGGATCCAGAACTGAATTCTTTAAAACAAAATGGCCGCCAGTCGGCCATTTCGAACCCGATCCAAAAAAAAAAATGACGTGCATCAAGGTCCTATTATGTTTAATGTATGTACCAAATTTGAACAAAATCCGTCCATGCATAACTGAGATCCGGGTCCGGAATGGTGAAAATGTGCGATTTTGATGCATTTTCGGCCTTAAAATGGCCGCTATTCGGCTATCGTTAATCAGATCATGAAAAAAATGCATGTGCATATGTCCCATATAATGTGTGATGTATGAGTGAAGTTTGAACTCAATCGGTCCATGCATGTTCGAGATACAGGTGATCACGGACGCACGGACGCACGGAAGCACGGACGCACGGACGCACACAGGGCAAAACATAAGTCCCCGTTTTCGGACTGCGTCCGAACGGGGACTAAAAAGACGTGCATCAAGGTCCTATTATGTTTAATGCATGTACCAAATTTGAATGAAATCCGTCCATGCATAACTGAGATCCGGGTCCGGAATGGTGAAAATGTGCGATTTCAATGCATTTTCGGCCTTAAAGCGGCCGCCATTTGGCTATTGTTAATGAGATCATGAAACAAATGCACATACATATTTGTGACATGATGTACCTTGTGTGTGTGAAGTTTGAACTCGATCAATCCAAACATGTCTCAGATACGGATCCAGAACTGAATTCTTTAAAACAAAATGGCCGCCAGTCGGCCATTTCGAACCCGATCCAAAAAAAAAAAAAGACTCGGCCATTTCGAACCCGATCCAAAAAAAAAAAGACGTGCATCAAGGTCCTATTATGTTTAATGTATGTACCAAATTTGAA